AATCTCAGATCAACCACTTTTTCTTTTGGCTTAAAGATTTGGTTTCAACTTGGTTATAAGAAACACTAGAAGTTGACCCACACGTTCAACCGGGTATTTATTTTCACTTTTATATATAAAACCATTATTTAAATGTTTGTTAGTTATCATATTTTAAAATTTTTTATAAACATTATAGTGAAATAGTTTACATGTCGAAAACAAATATTAACCCGTGTGTCATATCAAACTTTCGACAAACATTGAACCGTTGATATGTTTGAGTAATGTCTCTTTTAATACGAAGTCGTTTTTCAGTAATATAATATTTTAAATATTTTGATTATATATATGTCATATGGCGAGATTTAGATACATCAAAAAAGAAATATTTCATTATAAACATTAAATATTATTATACAAGTAATTTTATGATATTTAAAATTTTATATAGATAAATTTATTGTTGAAAATAATTAATAGTAACTGAAATTGAATAAAAATATATTTTAAAAATATTTGAAATATATATATCAAGAAACATTCAGATAGATTAAAGGGATTAAAATGAGTATTCAATTATAAAAATCCATATTATTCTACAAATAATTCAAAAATAGTTAAACCTTAGCATAGATAGATTTTATTGTTTAAAATAATTTATGGTAATGGTTAAATATATATTGTAAATTTTTAAAATACATATATTTTAAGCTTTACAAGCTAAATGTTTGGAGTTTATATGATATTTGGGAAATATTATATTATTAAAAATGTTTTAAATTTGAATTGTCCTAAAATTTAGCTAAATCATTTTAGGAAATATGTTGATCGCAAAATTTTAGGTAAATTTGATTTAGGAAATAATTTAATAAAATAAAAGAAAAAGAAAATGATTACTTAAATATATGTATATTTAATTCTCAATGGCATTAGATTGTAAATATTATGCAAGTTTAAGAGTTAGTTTATATTTGTACTTCTATTTTAATAGATTAGATCTATACCTGCATGTGTAAGTAACTATCTTTCCACATCTTCGTAAAGATTTGGGGTGTGTCTTTCTTTTCAGTAAGTGAAGCATTAACAATCTTCACATAATATAAGAACTAGGGGTGGGGGCGTTCGGTATCCATTCGGATTCGGTTTGAATCTATTTGGATTTCGGGTTTTCGGTTCACAAATTTCAGCCCCATTCGGATATTTCTAAATTTATGTTCGGGTTTGGTTCGGATCTTTGCGGGTTTGGTTCGAGTTCGGATAACCCATTTAAATTATTTTTAAAATTTTAAAATTGATTATATACTTTAAATTTCTAAAAATCTATAAACAAAATAGTATATTACAAATAATTGAATAACATAAGTAAAAATACCTAAAATTAAAATATAAATTAGTTTGATTTGAATATTTGGATTGTGAATCAATAAATTTTCAAAGTATTTTTGATGTTTTGAGTGTACTTTAGCAATTTTAGACATGTATGTTTGACTATTTACATATATTTACAAGTATTTTGAACAAATTCAAAGTATTTTATATATATTGAATGTTTTTTATATACATTAAATTTATAAATAATTAATATATATAGGTATATAAATATCTTTCGGATATATTCGGGTACCCGAAATACTTTGGTTCGGATCGGGATCGGTTCTTTAAATACCAAAATTTTGAACCCATTCGGATATTGAATCAATTTCGGTTCACGTTTGATACTGCTTTTTCGGATCGGGTTCGGTTTGATTCTTCGGATTCGGGGTTTTTGCCAGCCCTAATAAGAAATTTGATGTAAAGATAAAGAAACCATTATTAACTAATAACTATGAATATGTTTCTATTAGTAGTTAAAGGTCACTGACCTTATCGGTCTCAACAAAACGGTATTCCTATGATAAGTGTTTGAACCGAAAATGGTCTATTTGTCGAATTCATAACAATAAAAGATTTAAGAATTGGATTCTTAAATCCTTGAGGCTTAGGAGAAATCAAACATAGAAATCAAATGAGAAATAGAACATCAAAGAGATTTTATTGATATAGATTCATTACATTGAGTGATTACAAGTGTAAAGTGAATCTATAAATCTCTAAGAAGTGTTCTTGATCTAAAAGAGTGAAGGAGAAGATCTTCAACAAAGAGGGGTTGACTCCTTATTTATAGGAGAATGAGGTTTAGGGTTTCCCATCTAAATGAGCCTAATTCATTGTCTAATGGGCTTTGAGAATGGTGTAAATCCACCCCCAACAGTAAGTCCCCCCCCAAGTTCGTACCGAGAAATGAAATTGATCTCTTCGGAGTTTACGAATAAGTTTATGAGACAATGAACTAGGCACATTCATACCTGTGACGATTTAGGCAAATTTACTTTGAACTTGTGCCTAGTCAAAGGCGAGTTTGCTTTGGACTCGTGCATAATGAAAGACGAGTTTACTAGACTCATGCTGAGACAAAGGCGAGTTTACTGATAAACCGGGCCTAGTAGAAGGAGAGTTTCTGTAAACTCATGCCTAGCCAAAGATGAGTTTATGTAAACTCGTGTCTAACAATAAACGAGTCACTCGCAAACTCGTGCCTAATAAAAAGCAAGTTCAAAGTAAATTTGTGCCTAATATACAAGGTTACCGAACTATTGCTGACCCGAATTCCAGTGTCGAGATCGTTGTATGTCGAGCAAGTTGCTGGTTTGTATGTTCGTCAGACTATGATGATGTCGAGAGACATGCTGGCTTGTGCTGCTTGTACCGCTTCTGCCAAGCTCGTGAGAGCCGTCAAAGGATGAGGATATGATGGTGGCAACCATTTGTTGAATCTCTTTGGCTTAAGATCTAATCAACTCTGGTTCACAAAAGCAAGAGTATAATCAGATCAAAAGATAAACCAAAAGAAATAATCAGGTTTGCATAACTAATAAGCAAGCCATCGAACTTGCTTTTTCTTAATGCTCATGAGTTCCACATGATGATATGGTAATTGTTAAATATTAAGCAATGCACACAGCTCACAAAAAATAAAGCGATCAGCATCATAAAAATTAAATATATGAAACACTTATCTTTGATGATGAGTTGTCGCCTGTTGTTGGAGATGAAAGACTCTCTTTTCACTTCTTTTTTTTTGAAGTAAATGGCCATGAATTGACCCATGGCTGATGAGAAAGGTCGAGCTTTGCTAATTTTAGCTTTGACGAGCTCGTGAATGGTTGACACGACGAGCTCGTGACGAGATGAGACGACGAGCTCGTGACGAGATGAGACGACGAGCTCGTGACGAGATGAGACGACGAGCTCGTGACGAGATGAGACGACGAGCTCGTGACGAGATGAGACGACGAGCTCGTGACGAGATGAGACGACGAGCTCGTGACGAGATGAGACGACGAGCACGTGACGAGATGAGACGACGAGC